CTGCCAAATGGGATGGAAAGGAAGGCTCGGCGAGCGTATAGAAGCGTGCTCGACCTCGTCGTGGCAACCTGCACGGCAGCGCTGGTAGGCGCGATGAGCGTCGTGCCACCTGACCCGAGACGGGTCGCAGGCGTCGTACCGAGCGCGTCGAGACCGTGTCCTGATGTGATCTGCACGGGTGAGTCACGTCGGCGTCAAAGGAGCGACGTGCGACCTGTCAGAGCTTGATCTCCGATCGCAGCTGCCTTCTGCGCGTCCTGGGGATGTACCTTTGTCGCGCGCCGGAGACGACTCGACGCCGCTGAGATCGGAGATCAAGCTCTGACAGGTCGCACGTCGCTCCTTTGACGCCGACGTGACTCACCCGTGCAGATCACATCAGGACACGGTCTCGACGCGCTCGGTACGACGCCTGCGACCCGTCTCGGGTCAGGTGGCACGACGCTCATCGCGCCTACCAGCGCTGCCGTGCAGGTTGCCACGACGAGGTCGAGCACGCTTCTATACGCTCGCCGAGCCTTCCTTTCCATCCCATTTGGCAGCCTGGGAACGGTGGCGGTCAGAGGCAAAGCATACGAGGGGTGGTGGAACCACATGTCACGGCTACTGCCGGCTCGACCCCACGATAGCCTCCGGAGGCTGACTTTGAGGCACAATCATCGGACGACGTCGGCGAGTTGAGTCGCGCTCGCGGTAGCCAGATGACCTCTCATACTAGGAGCATCGGCCATGGCCGCAGGAAGCGCGGGGGAGGGCGCTGGGAGCAACACGGAGCTCCGTTGGACGTTTTCAAGATTAGCGTGTCAGAGTGAAATGGAACTAGCCCCTCCTAGTCACACTCTCAATATTTCGACTATCCAACATGAAGTGCTGCGATCGGGACTGCCCCATTTCTTTTTTCCTTTCTTTTTTGGGTCCTGTGGGCACCCTACCCCGGCGTCCGCCACCGCCTCGGCCGCCGCCGCCGTCGCCGTGCCGGATGCCGCCGAAGGCCAAGCGGCGTGCGCTGCCAGGAGCGCGTCGCGGACGGTCAAGACGACGCCAGCGCCGCCCACATCGTCATCTCAGCCACCGCCGCGTTGCACTTGAGCGCGAAGGCCATCCGCAGCAGCGTGGGCGGCGACGAGTACCAAGCGGAGAGGTATTCGACCTGTGAATTAGCCGTGAATGGGCCGTGAATGAGCCGTGACTTGAGAGCTGTGTGAACGAGCCGCGAATGAGCACAACAACTGGCGCCTGCGGCAGGTGCAGGCTGGCAGGAGCGGTGGCGTTGCAGAAGACGAGGATCTCGTGGTTGAGCCCGGCGAGGTCGTCTTTGTTGGCCTGCGCTACAAAAGCGTGCGTGAGAAAGGCTATTAGCTTCCGGCCTGCGCGGTCGGGAGTGCGAGCGGCTTGGGATGTGGGGGACGGGGGATAGCAACGGGGGGAGAAGGGAGGGGCGGTGTTAGGAGCAAGGGGGGGGGGGGGGGGGGAAATAACAAGGGGCCTGATGGGAAGTTTAGGCCACCTCCGATGAGCAGGCGTTCATTCCGGCGAGCGATCCGTCGTCGTTCCACTGCGGAGTCGGCGCCTTGAGCGAGTACTCAAAAGGCAAGGACATGCGCGCCCCAAGAAACTGCCATCTAGGACGACGGCCCCGGAGAAGATCGTCGGGGCTTGCCCCCGCCCAGCCCCCAGGCGTCCCTGCTGGAAAGAGGACCGAGCACGCCGCCTGGCAAGGCTCGGCCAGGGTGAGCGCGACCTTCTCGGCCGCCGCAATGACGCGCCCGCAGTGCGCCGCGTGCATGCTTGGAGTCATGTACGCCCCGCCTAGCCCGGTCGTGATCCCTTTGTCGAACTTGCTCACCACCTCGCGACAGTGAAGGACATGCTCGGCGGAAGTCTCCAGGTCGTGTTTCGGCACGGGGTAAAGCAGCTCCTTGGGCAGGCCGGCGCACACGTTGTCGACGGGGGCGAAGCTGAGCGCGGAGACGATCGCAGAGGCGAGCATAGACACTTGTGTGGTCTCGCGCGCGACCGCGGCCTCGGCTGCCTTGGCGGCGGCTCTGGCGGCGGCTGCTACGGCGGTCAATCTCACGATTGTCGATCAAAACCGGCGGGCTTTGTGACGCCGTTTACGCAATCGTTTTTTGGCTTCGCTTTCTCTTGTGCTTGTTTGTATTTTGTTTTTTCTTCTGCGAAGCGACGGAGGGGGGGGCGGGCGGGCGCTAACTATGGGCAACTACATGTCGAAGGTTCGAGGACGACTAGGTAGGTAGGTAGAAAGGAAGGTGAAGAACAGCCAGGCTAAGGAGGGTGCCTCCACCGGCCACCTCACCATCTCCGGGCGAAAAGAATTTTCCATTAGAAGAAAAGAATTTTACAACAAAACTCCCTCACAAATGCCGTCCTCCTCACAGAAGGCGTCGTCGGAATGGTAGTCAGGCGGATGGTCGAATCCGCGAGCACCGTGGTGCTCGCCGAAAAGTGTGAGTGACACACACACACACACACACACTCGCCGAAAAGACCATCCCCACCAGAAAAGAAAGCATCCCGCTTTTCTAACTGCCATGTCGGCCGGTCGTCGGCTGCTGCTCTCGCCTCGCTGGCGGCGCGGTCTGGTGCCGCGGCGCCCAGCTCTCCTGTGGGCTCGCGGCGGCTCGCCGCCGCGGTTCTGAACAATGTGATCAGTCCGGATTCGTCCCGGCGTGCCGCCGGTGCCGCTTCCTCGCCGATTGTTTGCTCATCCAGTTAGTCGACAAAGTTGCCCTGGAGCTTGCCGCTCGACTGCGCGGCGGAACCGGCCCTTCGCGGCCGAGATGCGATGCGCCGACGCCGGGGCTACGGCTCGGGACCATTTCCGGGCTGTCTCGGGCAAGTGCAAATTTTGATGATTTCAGACCTCGCCACTTTGCTGCACACTTTGACCTCAACCCGCGGCCCGCTGCGCGGCTCTTCGAGCGCGAGAGGTGGCGTCTGCGAGGCGGCGAGCGCAGGCGGCGCAGGCGGCGGCGGCGCGGCGGATCGCGGCGCTGACAACGGCAGCAATCTGCGGCAGGCCGCTGCTTGCTGCTGCTGCAGCTGCTGCTGCTGCTGCTGCTCCGCTGCTGCTGATTGTGGCTAC